AAGTTAATGGGAAGCTCTAGGGGAGTTAGGAGGCTTTGTGGAGACTTTTCCCATGTTTGCTTGCTTTTTTTAAAAAAATATATTTCTATTGATTTCAGAGAGGAAAGGAGAGGAAGAGAGAGACAGAAACATCAATGATGAGAGGGAATCATTGATTGGCTGCCTCCTGCACGCCCCACACTAGGGATCGAGCCTGAAACCTGAGCGTGTGCCCTTGACCGGAATGGAACCCAGGACCCTTCAGTCCGCAGGCCGACGCTCTATCCCCTGAGCCAAACCAGCCCAGGACTCTCCCCATGTCGGTATCTGTTCCTGAGTAGAGCCCTCCAGGCTTCCTCCTCCTACTCTGAGGACAACTGCCTGAGGGAGGGGTTGGAGAGGTTCAGGACTCAGCCCAGGCTACGCAGTACTCCCTGGGTTTCCCTGCCTGGAGGGAACCTGCAGTCTTCTGCAGGGCAAGGGCAAGGGGAAGGAGAAGGGGGAGGCGGCCCCCTTGCCTGGTCCATGCTAGGAAGCCATGTGCACTGCCTGCTGCTGCTTCTCAGCTTCATCCCATCTCCCTCATCCCACTCTCCGTGCCCCCAGTCCCATAGGTGCCCGGGGCTGCGTCCCCAGCAAACGGTGTTGATCAGCTTTTCCCACGGCTGGTCTAGGTGGCTACATCAGTGTCCATCAGTCTGACCCCTCATTCCAGCTTCTGATATCTCTTGTCTTTTGTTCTATAATTTCTGTTCTAGGATTATGGGGCCTTTAAAAAAGAGATCCTTTTCCTGAAATTCTAGTGGTGCTTTGGGTTGAAGTGAAATTAGATACTTGCATGTAATTCCATCATGTTAACCTGGAAATGAATACTATATGTCCATTTACCTAGTAAGCATCTCCCCCACCAGAATGTAGGTTTTCTGTAGAATGATGGCAAGGTTTCGGTTCATTTCACGCTTCTAACACCTAGACAGGGATCGGAACATAATAACTGATTGACCTTGAATGAGGGACATGATTGCATACACAAAAGGCACTTGAGAAATAACTATATAGCACATGCAGAATTACACAGGGCCTCATATTTAGTTTTAACTATTTTGGACCATCTGTTGCCATGGAGAACATTACAAACAGACACTCAAAGCCAAACTTGGAGAAGTTTTAAATGAACTTGTTTTAAATGAAAGCTAATTTCCATATGTGGGTTGTACATTACTTTTGTTATTTTATGATAACGATCCAAACTCTTATATGGTGGGCGTTACTTTTGCTATTTTATAATAACGATCCAATCTCTTATATGGTGGGCATTCATCTTATCAATCTAGAGAAATAATGATCTGAGTGTGGCTGTGCCACGTATTGGCTCAAAAACTCATGTCCTGTCCAAAGACAGCCCATCCTCAAGGTGGTCTATAACCCAGCTGGCGGTTATCTCTGGATCTAAACCTGGAGCAACCCACATGCCTGGCTCTCCCAGTGTCACATCTGAGGACTCTAACGTCCAGGATTTTGTTCTCAGTGGAAAATTCCTTTCTTCTTGCTCCAAGACCCACCATAAACCTACCCAGACCCATCTCTCAACTCTTATCCCTCTGGGGAAAGCCCTTTTATTAGCGTGAATATAGTTTTTTGCCTCGTGATAAGCACTATATTTGTACCCCACTTACAGCACTTACCAGTGGGCCTGGTATCCTGGCAACGAGGTCGCTATCTGGTTCATTTGCTGTCCAGGCATAACACGCAGGCAGCCCTCAAATGTTTGTGCACTTGAATTAAATTACTGACCGGAGGCCCACACTTTTATTCGCTTCTGTCCTAAGGACATGGGGGTAATTACACTTAGTGGTTTAAGTTTGCCATAGATGTACTGGACATTTTTATCAGCTCTTGACATTTTACCTCCTTTTCAAGGGAGATCTTTATGAACAGAGCAAAAAGGAGATGTCCTCTGCCCTGGGAACATGTTTATTGTGAAATAATTACAAGACAAAAATGCTTAAAACAACTTGTGGAGAAAAGATCTGATTTCAAAAAACCACTATAGCCCTAGCTGGTTTGGCTCAGTGGATAGAGCGTCGGACTGCAGACTGAAGGGTCCCAGGTTCGATTCCAGTCAAGGGCACATGCCTGGGTTGTGGGCTCAATCCTGAGATGGGGGCATGCAGGAGGCAGCCGATCAATGATTCTCTCTCATCATTGATGTTTTTCTCTCCCTCTCCCTTCCTCTCTGAAATCAATAAAAATATTTTTTAAAAAAACAACCACTACAATACTGAGTAATAGTGAGTTATAGAAAGATGAGGCCTAAAACATGAAAATAGTAACTCCCCTTGAGGGTTCAGTCTCACACAGGGTTCGAAGGAGTGTGAACTTTGCACGGGGCAATGCAACAACTTGTAGCAAAGCTTTAAAAACATTCTCCCTGCCCTAACTGGTTTGGCTCAGTGGATAGAGCTGTGGCCTGCAGACTGAAGGGTCCCAGGTTCGATTCCAGACAAGGGCATGTACCTTGGTTGCGGGCACATCCCCAGCAGGGGATGTGCAGGAGGCAGCTGACTGATGTTTCTCATCAATGTTTCTAACTCTCTATCCCTCTCCCTTCTTCTCTGTAAAAAATCAATAAAATATATTTAAAAAAAATTCTCCCCTACTAACCCAGGAACTCCATTTTTGGGAACATAGATTAAAGAAGGAAACTTAATGCCCTGGCGGTTGCTCAGTGGTTAGAGCATCAGCCTGAGCACCAAAGGCTCACAGGTTCAATTCCTAGTCAAGGGCCTTACCTAGGTTTCGGGTTCCCTCCCACCCTGGTCAGTCAGTCAGGGTGTCCGGGAGGCAACCAATTGATGTGTCTCTCTCACATTGATGCTTCTCTCTCTCTCCCTCCCTCCCTTCCATTCTCTCTAAAAAGCAATGGGAAAAATATCCTCTGGTGAGGAGTTAACAAAAATAAATAAATAAATAAATAAATAAATAAATAAATAAATAAATACTATACAGATTCTTGCACATTTTCAGCCCAGCTCTGTTTAGCAAATGGGGCCAACTCAACTGTCCGGTGATAGAGGAGTGGCTAAGTTAAGGTGCATATGCATAACAGAATGAACAGTAAGCAGCCATTAAATAGGGTCTAATGATGATTCAGTATGACTTGTTTAAAACATGCTCATTATGTATATAAAAATAATAACTGAGCAGAAATACACCAAACTGCCCTGGTTGGTTTGGCTCCGTGGGTAGAGCCTCGGCCTGGGGACTGAAAGGTCCCCGGTTCGATTCTGGTCAAGGGCACATGCCCGAGTTGTGGGCTCAATCCCCGGTAGGGGGCGTGCAAGAGGCAGCCAATCAACCATTCTCATTGATGTTTCTATTGCTCCCTCTCCCTCTCTGAAAGCAATAAAAATATATTTAAAAAATATATACCAAACTATTGGCACTTGAATGGTCTGCTAACAGCACATTATCTCCAGGACTTGGTACAAAATGACAAGAGAAAAAAAATCCGAGATGTTCTGAATTAAATTACGGAGGGCCCGGCTGGTGTGTGGCTCAGTGATTGAAGTTGACCTACGAACCAGGAGGTCACAGTTGGATCCCCCGGCAGGTGCCCTGAGCTTTCGGTCCCCAGTGTGGGGCGTGCAGGAGGCAGCCAGTCAATGATTCTCTCTCATCATTGATGTTTCTCTCTCTCTCCCCCTCCCCCTTCCTCTTTGAAATTAATAAAAATTCCTTTTTAAAAAACTTACGGAGGGCTGAGTGAAAGGGCCAGCCAGGCTGTTAATAGCTGGGAGCCAGCTAGCGAGATTGGTCCCATTCCCGAGTGTGGGTGGGAACTTGGGATGGACGTCAGGTGGCTTTTCCGCCATTATCCAGGGAGGGAGCAGCCAGGTGCCATCAAACCCCCGGAGCTCCCGCTTCTTGTTTCCATGTGCACTTTCCGGACTGGCACCCACCACCCGTCTCAGGGAGCAAACACTTCCTGCAGACACTGCGCCTCCCCTACCCGCTTATCTGTAGCCAGTGCAAACTCTTTTAAAAAATATATTTTTAATTCATTTCAGAGAGGAAAGGAGAAGGCGAGAAAGAAACATCAATGATGAGAGAGAATCATGGATCGGCTGCCTCCTGCACCCGGGATGGAGCCCACAACCCGGGCACGTGCCCTGACCCGGAATCCAAGTGACCTGGGTCACAGGTCAGCCTGCAACCCCTGAGCCAGGCCGGCCGGGCCCATGTAAATTCTTCCACAACCTACATCTTTCTTCCCCAAACTGTTTCCATGAAAGAGCTGGTCAGCTCCAGGACTTCAAGTTGCCTTTTCCTCCCTCCTCCGGGCGCTGCTGCAGGTGGTTAGACTCCTCGCCCAGGCCCCGTCTTCTTTTCCCGCCGGAAATGGCCCCATAAGCCGTGCTTTTCCAAATACCTTCAGCCGTGGACGTTAGCATTTCTGTTCAACAAAAGCACAGGACAGTAAGATGCTCAACGCATTAAAAATCATCGAAAACGCATACGCAGGGGGACAAAGTTCAGCACCTTTTCGGTTGAACGAACCTATAATGTTTGAATAATGGTGCGATGTACGGTCTTCTTTATGATTTTGAGTTCCGAATTTTCTAGAAGGTGTTCCCATCACTTAAGTTACAGCTAACACACAGGATGGACAGACCGACGCCCTTCTGCAGGCCTCGAACAGGAGTGGGTCGGGGATAAAGAGACTGCCCTCCAAGCTGCTCTCCAGGCCCGATCCTGGCCTTCCGGGGCGGGGCAGGACCACGACCTCAGCGCGCAAAGATGGCGACCTGCGCGCCCCGCCCTCCGCCCCTGGCGCCCGGCCGGAGCCGAGCTCGCCCGAGCGGGCCCGAGCGTGCTCGGCCCGTGCCCGAGCGCTGCCGAACGTCGCCGAGTGCGCCCGAAGCCGAGAGGAGCTCCGGGAGCGCGCGGGCGGGAACGCCCCGCCCCTAGCCTGGGAGCGCCGGCGCCGGCGCGGGGAGGGACGGCCGGATATGAGTGGAGCGGCCATTTCCTGTTTCTCTGCAGTTTTCCCCAGCTTTGGGTGGTGGCCGCTGCTGGGCTTCGGCTTCCCGTTGGAGGAGGGCGAGGCGGCGTGGACAGCGGCCCCGGCACCCCACGCCCCGCCGCCTGCAGCCGCGCGCCCGCCCGCCCGCCGCGCCTCGAGCCCGCCGCTTCCCTCCTCAGCCCCCGGCCGCCGCTGCCGCGGCCCCCCGAGCGGCCCAGATGCAGGCCATCAAGTGTGTGGTGGTGGGAGACGGGTGAGTGCGCGGGCCGGGCCGCGGGTGGGAGCCGGGGGCAGGGGGCCGGGGGCCGGGGTGGGACGGGGCGGGCGCGCGCGGGGCCAGGGCTCCGGCCTCTCGGGGCGCGGGCCGCCCCCCTGCCCGGGACCCCGCGGCGCGGGCCTGGCTCCGGCCCTGTTCTCTCTCCGGTGGGGGAGGGAGTCGCCGACGGCGGCCGGAGGGAAAAGTGAACTCCACCCTCCGCTGTCTCCCCGCGCCCGCTGACCGCCCGGCCTCCGCCTCGCAGGCTGTGGGGGAGCTGATGGCCTTTCCTAGAAAGGGGCGCCGGCTTGGCTTCTCCACGAACCCCGTGGCCCCCTTGCGAGCCTCCGCGCGGCCCGGCGGTCGGTCCGTCGGTCACCACCGACGGGTACTGCCCGGCTGGTTTGGGGGACCCGAAACTGATTTACCGGGGTGTGCACTTCCGCCGCTTGGAGGGTTTGAGAAATGACTGCTTTTGCTCTTGGCGTGGAGAAACTTTTCCGATCCTGTCCGCGAGGAGCTGGGTGTGATGAAAACGGTTGTGTGTGTGGTTTTGTTTTTCCCGAGTGTGGTGTGGTCAGGACAAGACGGGCATTGGCCCCGGCTCCTTGCCTTGGGTTGGGGTGTAGCAGAGCCGCTGCCCCGGGGCGGGGGGGCCCGGGCTCCAGGCTTGGCTTGGCTTGGCTTTGCTTTCCTGTGGTGGTCACGGGCCTGGAACACAAGGCTTGTGTGATGCAGCCCTTGCCTCCCGTCGAGACAAGAACCCCAGTGTGATCCGAGCACAGGCGCGCGTCTCGGCGTCGGCCGAGCGGCGGGGCGCGGGCGGGGGAGCCGCGAGCTGGACGGCCGGCCCGGCTCGTCCAGCGCGGGACGCGCGGCGGGTTCCCGCTCGGACCCGGGCGGAATCGAAGGAAGCTGCTGGCCTCGCTCTTCCCCTCGATGGCGGCGCCCCCGGCTCGTCAGCAGGGCTGGGGCCGCCTGCTTTGCTGCCCCTCCGTGGGGCTAGCAGTTCCCGGCGCATTTCGTTGGAAATGGTTTCTCTGAGTTTAAAAAAAAGAAGTCCAATCGCCGGCGTCTGATTATAGTACCGCAGCGTGTAACATTCCCACTGGAAAATGTTGAAAACTACACCATAAGCTCGGCAGACAGGTTTCGTTGATTCCTTACAGAGTAAGTAGATCTGCTGTTGGCAGAGGACTTGTTGGATGCCTGGTTGGGGGTCGGTCGGTCCTTCAGACCCCGCCCCCCCCCCCTTAGGGGGAAGCCCCGGAGCGATCACTCATCCCCCAGGGCGGCCTCCGGGGGCAGTTGTGCGGGTTAAACCAGGTGCTGGGTGTTAAGCGCCTCCCAGATGCTCCGCACGGGCCCGCTGCTGCGGTCGCCGTTTCTCATGGCCCGGCGCCGCTGGGCTCTGGGCAGCGAGTGTTGGGCCTAAGACACAGATCCTAGCCTTGAGTTTTTGAGTTTTTTGAAAACTGCGTTTGACATGGATGTGGACGGGGGCCAAGTGATCGTGCAAGTGAAATGCACCTTCACAAAAAAACCTGAAGCTGTGTCTATTATTTAGCGGACAGCACGTGGGGAATATGACTTCCGAACAAAACTTAGATGCCAGTTTCCCATACCAAAAGTTATTTTCCTGCTTTTACCCAAATGAAATGTGTTCCTGGTGATAAAGCTGGAACGTTCTTTTATTCACAAATCGGTAAAGCTTTAAGTGTGGGCCTGCGTTTCACGGAGCTAAGGAGTCACTGAAGGTGTGGGATTTCAGGCAGTGAAGGCAAACAGGTGCCGCACATTTCAAGCTTCCTCACTTTCAGTATGTTCTTGGCGATTCTGGTTAGAAGCTGTGTCATAACCATGGGGTTTTTGTTTGTTTTTATTTTTATTTCCAGTGTTTAATTGGGTGTGCATGTAGACGTGACGTCGCTTTGGGTTCATTAAGTCCTATGTCATGACCATTTTATAACTTGGGTGAATTAACCCATATTCTTCTAACAGATTATTTCCTATATTGTGATTTTTAATTGCATTGACTCTAAACTATGAGATAAAATTTGATACGTTTTTATTAGAAGGCAGTCCTTCCTGAACACAGGGCCTGTCACTTTTATTTGGGGCACCTCTGCCCTAAGATGTTCGCTCAGCTTTACTTCTGTAAGACGGCATCTCACATTCAGATATTTACAAACCATTTTCAATAGTGTTGTGTTGGCTGTGGTTGACTAGAAGTCGGAGTGAACGACTTGAAGCCCTCATTTCACTCATTATACAAACTGGTGTCCAGATTGGGCCAGTAGCCTCTTCAGCCCAGCCTCTAATTTAGATATTGCTGCCCAGGGATTTTTTTTTTTTAATTGAGCATGAAAAATTCATGTATGTATCATGCCTCCCATGGAATCATCTTTTTCTTTTTAAGCTTCATGGAGTTAAGTATTTCGTTTTGAGGCATAGGGTGCCATGTGTTTGACCTGTTGTAGAGATGTTTGAAATCCTCACTGACTTCCAAATTCAGGTTTAGTATACGACTGATCTTGGTTGGTAAAATGACACATAATGCCTTTTTTTTTTTTTTTTTTTTGATGTGTCATCCTTTATTATAGCCATAGCTTATTCAGTCATTCTCCTATTGGATGATTAGGTCGTATATGATTAATTTTCTTTCTTTTGTGAACTAATTTTTTAAGTTGGATTTATTGGGGCGATGGTTAATGAAATACAGGTGTTCAACTCTATAATACATCATCTGTATATTACATTGTGTGTTCAGCCTCCCCCCAGCCCCACTTTTTTCTTCTGGTAATCACCATACTGTTGCTTGTGACTGAGTTTTTTGTTTTTTTTAAATATATTTTTATTGATTTCAGAGAGGAAGGGAGAGGGAGAGAGAGATAGAAACATCTATGATGAGAGAGACTCATTGATCGACTGCCTCCTGCACACCCCCACACTGGGTTTGAGCCCGAAACCCAGGCATGTGCCCTGACTGGGAATCAAACTATGACCTCTTGGTTCATAGGTTGATGCTCAACCACTGAACCACACTGGCTGAGCTGAGTTCTTTTAGTTTTAATTTTGAATTTTTTATTCTGCTTAATCCTTTTACTTTTTTCACCCAGCTTCCCAATAGCCCTCCCCTCTGACTGCTATTTCAAATTATAATCTCAGTAAAAATTTTATTTAGTGGAGGAGGGTCAGGAATCCATTTTTAAAAACCTTTAACCCACCCTTTATGATGTTCTGTCTTTGCATTAATCATCTACTGTTTTGGTACTTAACTGCTTTTCACCTCTGCATCGCCAGTAGCTCCGTCTGACTGTGGTCTTCCTAGAAAGGAGATGCTTTGTCAGGAACCCTGCTACCGGTTCCTGATCGGCAGTTAACAGATGTCATCAGAAGGAATATTATTCCTCCAGCATCTTTAATAGGGAACAATTCCAAACATATAGAAAAGTTGAAAGAATTGTCCAATGAACCACATGTATACATGGATACCCACCACTTGGATTCTGTAATCAACATTTTGCTGTTTGCTTTGTCACATGTCTTCCCATTATTGGAGGGAATGTTTAAAGATGACTTAATAGAGAAGTTGATTTTGAAGGAGACTGACTGAGGGTGATAGACAGTTAGATATAAATTCTTGTTTTGAGTGTAGCTGGTGTGGCTCAGTGGATTGAGCATTGTCCCCTGCACCAGGAGGTGTCACGGGTTCTATTCCCAGTCAGGGCACATGCTGGGCTTGCAGGCTCCATACCTGGTAGGGGGGATGCAGGAGGCAGCTGATTGATGTTTATCTCTCATCGATGTTTCTAAAATCAAAAACATATTTTTAAAAATTCTTGTTTGAACTCTATCTTCTGTTGACTCAAGTAACCCCAGGGTTAGGCTTGGTGGTTCTGGAAGGGCGGTCTGAGTAAAGGCTGCTTCAGACTTGAACTCTGCTATAGGTAGTGTCTTCAGCTTTGAATGTTCTAGAAACTACACAGAATATGATTTTTTTGAAGCCTCCAATGGTGATAATTGGTGGCTTTCTATAAGTTGGTTGTGATGTCTTGTTAATAGCAGAACATCAGAGTTTCTGTTTGGGTTTTGTGTTTTTGTATCATGAAATGACTATTAATTCATACATTTTCTGAACATATTCTGTGCATAGTTATGCATTTACTGAAGGCTTACTGTTAGAGTCCTCATTCCCATTTCCCAGTGCAAGTTGAGGCCTTTCAATTCAGGGTCTTTAAATTTTTTTTATCTACCTGGATACCTTACTTTTTTTTTTTTTTTAATATGAAGAAATTGCTGATGTTTCTAGATTATTGATCATTAAAAAAAAAGTTTTGGCCCTGGCCAGTGTACTCAGTGATTAGAGCGTCGGCCCGTGCATGAAAGGGTCTCAGGTTCGATAGATACCAGGGTTGCAGACTCAATCCCTATCCCTGGTCAGGGTGAGTTCTGGAGGCAATCAATTGATGTGTCTCTCTCACATCCATGTTTCTCACTCCCCCCCCCCCCCCCCACTTCCTGGTAATAAGTGGGAAAAAATACTCTCTTGTGAAAGTTCTGGTTTATAGATTTCAGGAATTAACACTGAAATTTGTCCAAAATATGTTTAAGTAAAGTTTCCTTAAATTCTAATGGAAAAATGAACATAATAGGAACAAGTTACTGGGTTTAATCTTAATTTCTCTTAGATGGGGCAGGAGCACAGGTAGGTTAAGAAAGTGCTCATGTGAAAGTCCTTCCAGTAGACTCACGTTCACTTTCTAGAGTTTAATCTTTCAAAGATTAAAAAGAGGTTGAACTGAGCAGTTAACACATAAAATTGGAAATTCCAAAGCAAATAGTAACTTCCTGAAATTCTGCAGCAGCGTCTGTCCGGGCTGTGACCAAGTACGGCTCCATCTTCCTGTGGGGAAAGCCAGTGTTGACTTTGGCTTTGGGCATTTATTTGTGGATGTGTTTAAAAGGAGTGAATAAATACACTAATAGGAGGTAAATAACTGTTTCCTTTTTCTTTTTATCTGTTTTAAAAAATTAAGTAAGTATTTAAATAAAAGGTTGGACATGTACTTATTTAAAAAGTTATAATTTCATAATTTAATGATTATCTTATAGAATGCAGATTTGTAGCAAATAACTGATTGCTAATAAAACTTCAGTCAACATCAGGTTATGTCCTTACCTTGAATTCCTTTATAGTTCAACCTTTCAAAAGATACTGTCTCAGCTGAAGACAAAGTTTCAGGAAAAGAAAGTTCAGAGTGCTTAAAGCACAGTTGGCCATCTTTACAGTAATGGCTCTGTTCCTCAGATATAGAGAAGAGACAGGCCAGGATCGATCTATCTATCTATCTATCTATCTATATTATTCATTCTCCACAGAGAGGAAGGGAGAGGGATAGTTAGAAACATCGATGAGAGAGAAACATCAATCAGTTGCCTCCTGCACACTCCCCACTGGGGATGTGCCCACAACTAAGGCACATGCCCTTGACCAGAATCGAACCTGGGACCCTTCAGTCCGCAGACCGATGCTCCATCCACTGAGCCAAACCGTCCGGGGCAGGCCAGGATCTTAAAGGAAGTGCTAGTACATTTTAACAGGGAAGTAAAATTTTATTTTTAGAATATATTTTTTATTGATTTTTAGTGAGGAAGGGAGAGTGTAGAGAGCGCCTGGGAAGGCACATGAGTTAATTATCTGCTGAGTCCACTGGTGTCGGCAGAGCCATGTCCTGGAAGACATACCGTGTCAGAGGCAGGTATGTTGTCAGCCTGACCCTTAGCTCAGGTGCCAGGGGTGGGTTTCATTATCTAAGTTCAGCCAGGCGCAAGGAACGGACGCAATTATCCAGGCTCAGCCAGGAGTGACAATTACAAAGAAGCCACAAGAATGAAGAATTGCAGCTTGATCTTTAACCATGATTTCACATAATTTCCTTTGTTTTAAACGCTAGTAAAACTTCCTGAAATTGCACTGTATGTAATAAACGCGCTGCACCAGCTCTGGGTCCATCAGAGGGCAGTGTCCCACCGGGTCCCAGCTTTCCCTACTGTCTCTTTCTTTTTCTCAATCCCCAGCCGCCCCTACTCAGGAACTCGTCTGCTCTCTAGCCCTGCTGGTCGCAGTAGAGAGAGAGCTTATAGGAGAGGGAGAGAGACATTGATTGTCTGCCTCCTACACGCCCCCTATGGGGATTGAGCCCGCAACCCAGGCATGTGCCCTGACTGGGAATCGAACCTGCAACCTTTCTGTGTACAGGACGACACCCAACAAACTGAGCCACATGGGCAAAGATGAAAGTTAAAATCTTTTTTTTTTTTTTATATATATATTTTATTGACTTTTTACAGAGCGGAAGGGAGAGAGATAGAGAGTTGGAAACATCGATGGGAGAGAAACATCGATCAGCTGCCTCCTGCACATCTCCTACTGGGGATGTGCCCACAACCAAGGTACATGCCCTTGACTGGAATCGAACCCGGGACCTTTCAGTCCACAGGCCGACGCTCTATCCACTGAGCCAAACCGGTTTCGGTGAAAGTTAAAATCTTAATAGCTGCTTATCCTGGTCAGTAAGTGACAATAACTATGAACATTTTTGCACAACATTTGTAATTTTGAAAAGAGGTTCATTTATCACAGCCTTAGACTCCGCTCTCTGCCTCAGCTGCCACATCCAACCCATGGCCGAGCCATGCTTGTCCTCCCTCAAGTCTAGGCAGCTCCTGAAATGCCCCCTCTTCACCCTGAAAGCCCCTCCTAGTCCAGATTACCAGGGGTAGTTACTGGAATAGAGCAGCTGCTGCTACTTCCTTATTTTCCTGCTTCTGGGCCCCAGCTTCCTCAGTCTTCTCTCCAAGCGCGTTCCAGAGTCTTCTAAAAATGCAAATCTAATGGTTTCTTGGCAACTAAAAAACCTCTATGACTTCCCAAGTAGGATAAAGTCCATGTTCCTAGCAAGAAGTTATTCTGGGCTTCCTTTAGTTCTGGGTCTCCTCTTATGCTGTTGCTTTTGTCTAGAATATTCCTCCCTATTGTGTCCCTCCTTCCCCTAAGTCTCCGCATACACTGCAGCCTCCTCTAACTGCCCCCCAAGACTAGGTTAGATCTCTTGCTGTTTCCAGAGCATCTTTGATAACACGTGTTGCACCTATAATTTTTTGTCATGACTGTATTCTTCATTTTTTAATTAGCTGCATAAATTCCATGGGGTCTTATTTGTTGCAGCACCGAATACACTTCCTGGCATAGCACACAATTTGTTGGTATAGGTTGAAATTGAATTAAGTAATGCTCACAATAGTTTTGTGATGGAGTGGTAGTTTTGCATCCATATTACAGTTGAGAAAACTGGAGGCATAAGGAAGTTGAAACTTACCCCAAAATTCCAGCCAGTAAGTGATAGAGTTGGCCATGGGTGGGTCTCAAATCCAGGGCAATGACTTCAAATCTTAGGCTCCTGCTCCTACAGGTTTATTTTGACATGCTAAGCTTTTAACAAATGTATGGCCAGTGAGTCATCTCTGTTTAGAAAGCCTTTAGGAGTTGGAAGCTACCTCCTGATGATATAATGTTTGACTCTGTGAGGTCTTTAGGGTGGGGAGTTCCAACTTTTGTTAAGCCCTACGTAATGTTACAAGTGAAACAAGTATTGGCACGACTGGATGGGCCTGTAATCGGGCCTGGTTGAGAGGTTTTTTGCCTTAAACTAAGAGTGCAGGGAAAATAGAAAAGCACCTAACTTCGTATGGTGATTCCTAATTTATACTAGTTGAGGTTGGACAGCAGATCTTACAACTCAGAATGCCATGTGTTCTCATGGTCAGCCTGCTGAGGACGGCAGGGAGGTGGGCATTTGCTAAACTATTAGGAGGCCAGGGACATGGGCTCTAGAAACCCTGAAGACATCCTATGAATGTACAAATTTGGCTAACAGTGCAGTAACTTTAAATTTTAGGTGATGTTCTCTTGAAAAAAATTTTTTTCAATTATTGGGAGACTTCCAGTCCCAGACTTCTGCTTGATGCACTGTACCTGTTACCAGCTCGGAGGTCTTCCTTCTGTGGAGTCTTTCTGCAGAGTCTCTTGCTTACTCCTCCCTGCAGCTGCTGGGAAGTTTACTCCAGCATCCCTGAGCTATTAATTAGTGTCTGGCTTATACTGTGTTAGCTGCTCTAAAAGCTTGTGGTGATGTGTGAGGACAGGGGGTGGGGAGGTGGCAGTGAATACAGATGAGTTGAAGTGAGAATAGTTCTGTGTGGTGGTTATGACTAAGCACTCTGTTAAGAGAGCAGTCATTGCTGATTGCCTGAGGGAGGCTTTAGGAAGGTGGTGGAATTTGAGCTGCCACTCAGAGGCAGCAAAGTCTATTACTTAGCAACAGATTAGAAGTTGCAGAGGAAAGCTGTGTTTGCAGATTAGTGTCATAAAAATAATGAAGATTCTTGGATGAAATATTCTCCAGATGGTCACCGTAAAGAATTTCAATTTTAAGATAGTGTTTCTCTTGAACCTTATTTAAGAGCTGTTTCCTGCCGAAACCGGTTTGGCTCAGTGGATAGAGCGTCGGCCTGCGGACTGAAAGGTCCCGGGTTCGATTCCGGTCAAGGGCATGTACCTTGGTTGTGGGCACATCCCCAGTGGGGAGTGTGCAGGAGGCAGCTGGTCGATGTTTCTCTCTCATCGATGTTTCTAACTCTCTATCTCTCTCCTTTCCTCTCTGTAAAAACTCAATAAAAATATATTAAAAAAAAAAAAAGCTGTTTCCTGACTATGAGTGCTGATATCGCGTACCTCACCAGAATGTGAAGGCTCCAACTCTGCCTTTCTGAAAAATTCTAGTTTGTTTACTTTAAATTTCAGGATAAAAATACATGTGTAATGTTAAATAAAAGGTTATAGAAACAGTTTTCTTTAATGCTAAGTACTGGTGTATACGCCTTGATTTTTCTATAAGTTATTTTAACAGAATAATGAAAACTAGGATTACATTCATGTTAACCAAGCAACTTACACCTTTTTTTTTCTCTCTCTCTCTAGAGCTGTAGGTAAAACTTGCCTGCTGATCAGTTATACTACCAATGCATTTCCCGGAGAATATATCCCCACTGTGTAAGTATTTAAGTTAAACTGGACATTAACTCATCTGTGATGTTTGCAGACACCTTTGATCTTTGTTTTGCTATTTACATGAACAGACATGATTGCTTTTCCTTTCAGACATTCACCAAAGTCTAGGTAAAAAAAAAATACTTAATAAAATGTAAAGTTTCGACACAGTGATGAAACACACAGCTTTCCTAATTGATTTTTAGACATTTAGGAAATACAAGAAATTTAAACTAACTGAAGTATGGAGGCTGGGTAATGTACGTTTCAGATAAATTTGGCCCTCTGGGCTCTGTGTGCAGGCTGACATACTCCGTTATGTTGTAATTGGCCTTTTCTGGCAAGTTCTCCGCTGGTTACATGTCACTGTTGAGTTAAGGGGCCTTGGAATTTAAACCAGGGTGTGTTTGGGGGTGAGCGTACAGGAGGGTGGAATTGGCTACTGGGCTGCTCATTCCCTGTTGGCAGCAGAATTGGGTGGAGATGGCGAAGTGCTTTTCTGCTGACGGGGTTACTAGGGAGCCCCACGTGCCTGCCCGGCCTCGCAGCACCTCCCTGTGGTCACGCTGAGCTCTGCTTTCCCGGCTTCCCTCCTGGGGGAGAGGAAGCACCTCCAGGGCCATCTCCGCGAGCGCAGCGCTCTCACTTAGGTGCTCCCTGACGTGTTTTGTTGCATATTTTAATGTCAGTGGAACTTATGGTAGGGACTGTCCTTATCCGCAAATGTAGATAGAGCTGAGTCGCTAACAGCTGGTAGGACTTGGAACTGCTATAGCTGATGAACCCTGGTCAGTTTTTTGGCTTTACACACAGTGCTGTGTTAAACATCATGCATGTGTGTTTGTGCACATGTGGAATTGTACCAAATTTTAAATTTTCATAGGCACTACCCATTTGCCGTCTCAAAGGCTATCACTTTGACCAGCTGTGATGGAAACAGGCCCTTAGTACATGTTGTGGTCCTCATAAATTGAAAAAGTTACCTCACCATTTGCATTTCTGATCATCAATGAGGTTAAAATCTTTTGAATGTTTACTGTCCATAGTCTTCTGTGAATTGCCTGTTGAAATTTTTGCTTATTTTTCTACTGAAATTTTTTCTTACCGGTGGTACTTCTGCATATAAGAAATATTAATCCCTGTCTCTTCATTTGTCTTTTAACTTTGTTACGGTGTCTCCTATGAGTGATGCAAAAATATTTAGGGTGTATTTTTAATGTTTATTTATTGATTGATTTTTAGAGGAAGCAACATACACACACACACACACACACCCCGATTTGTTGTCCCGCTTACTTATTCATTCATTTATTGCTTCTCTTAGGTGACCTGACCAGAGATTGAACAAGCAACCTTGGCATATTGGGATGACACCCTAACTAACTGAGCTACCCAGCCAGGGCCTAGAATGTATTTTTTATTTTAGTATGGGGCGGACGGCGGGGGTGGGGAAGTCACCATTCAGTGAATAATCTCTCCTTTTCTCATGAGGCAGAATTAGTACACATCAGACCTTCTATGAAAGCTAGTTTGGTCACTAAATTTTTTAGACCACATTAGCACTTTAGACCTTGACTTTGCTGCCCCAGTGTAGTAAGACCTTAAGTTCTAGTCTTCAAAGTATGTAAAGATGAATTCTGGAGTTCTATTGTTTCTATTTGGTACCTGCCCTGGTTTGAATTTCAATGCCAGGTTTTTATTTAATGAACTACTTACTCTATGATACTCGTAATTGCCGACCTTATTTTCCCCTGTTAGCCTGTAGGCTTTTTGGTCTTCCTTCTGTAGTTAACCAGTTTTTGTGTAGCAACTTCAAAGTAATTTAAACATGTGTAGTCCAGTACATTCACTTTGAAAACGTTATTCGATGGCTTCTCAGAACCCCTCTGCACGCCGGTTGCGGGCATGGATGATCAAGACTTGACTCAGCCCCAGCCTGCACGGCAGGTCTGTGGAGGCACAGCCCCCGCCCCAGCCCCGCCGTGTGCCGTCTTGTCAAGAGTGAGTCAGATGTCTGTGAAAAACTCAGCAGCGGGATTTGAAAGAGGGACCAGGTTCACACTCTATTTCTTCCCGGAGAGGAAGTATTCTCTTTAGTAAAGGCAAAGCTTTTTTATTGCTGACAGTAACTTCTTTCAGTTAAATTTGTAGCGTTCCTTTGTTTCGCAGGCATTTTCCCAAGCTGTGCATTATTTCCCTCACACTCCACCCTGTGTTCCCTCCGCTTCTTAGCTCACAGGTGTCTCCTTGTGCCTGCAGGAAGGGCATCTGCTGGCCTGGCGGCCTCCAGGCCCCCTCCTGGCCTTCTCAGCACCACTTCCTCTGGGACCCCAGCTGGGACAGCGACTTGGGTCCTGGACCTGGGCCTTATGCTCCAAGATTAGAGACTAACAATTTTTTCTCCATATTTTACAGCTTTGACAACTATTCTGCCAATGTTATGGTAGATGGAAAACCGGTGAATCTGGGCTTATGGGATACTGCTGGACAAGAAGATTATGACAGATTACGTCCCCTCTCCTATCCGCAGACAGTAAGGACCACAAGTGATTTTTTTCTTTTTTAAGATTTTTATTTGATTTTTAGAGAGAGGAAGGGAGAGGGAGAGAGCCACTTACTTGTCTTTAAATACACAAGTATCTTACTTGCATCATTTGCTTATCTTGTTACATTTTGTTCTTCCTTTTACAAGTGCATTTTAAAACAATCTTGGAAGCTTAGTGACTAACTGACAAACATGGTATAGAGGCAGTTGAACAGATTCCTTGGGTTCAAACCCTGCTCTCCCTCTTGCTGTGTAACCGGGGGCAGTGTTCTTCATCTCTGGTCTTTACCTCTTTCCTCGGAGGATTAGAGGAGTCAGTATCGTAAAGCATATGGAACAGTCCCAGGCACATCACAGCCGCTCCAGTGAGGCTGCTATTAGGCACCCCCTCCTTCTCGTGCGGGTCTGGAGACCTCAGTTCAAGTCATCCATTCTCCTAGCAAGCCAGATGGTCAGAGGGGTCAAGGGTCAGGGTCAGGGAGCCATCTGGAGAAGGAGGCTTTGATCTTTTGATTGGTTTATCCTTTGCTTGCTTTAACCATCACTTTTCCTTAGTGGTTAGTGTGGGTAAAAAGAACTAATCTGCTCCAGTCTACTCACATCTTGCTTTTTGTTTTTAAATGAACTTCCTGTTTAGTGGTGATAGTGTTAAAATTCTGAATACTGCTTTTTCCATGCAACAGTCATCGTCTCTTTGTTTCCCGCTGGAGAAATTGCCAAATACTGTTTCTTTGAGCTGTAGATTTTTGCTGATTGTTCTTGAGCTGGATTTTGGTAACAGACCAAAACTATAAAATGGAAGTTTGAATTGCATGATGCATGATTTCTTAGTTATCTACAACTAAAAATTAACAAAGTATTAAAAACCAGCCAAATCACCAAATGGTTTGGATTCTTCAATATGTTTAGGAATCTGTTCTATACCAGTGGGTGCTTAATAATTCTAGATTTTAAATGGGTTTGCAAACATACTGAGCTAGGAGTGTCCTGACCCACTGGACACATCTGGAAGGGTGGGCAGGGTGTCACTCTGCCTCCTGTGACTCAGGGTAGGGTGTGGTCTTTTTCTCAGAGAGTCACGGTGTGTCAAAGGTGACTTGGCAAGATTTCCGCTTTGTGTGCTAAAGAACACATAGATAGCAACAGATGGAATCAGGCTGCAGGGAGTTGGCTGAAATCCGAGGGGGCGCCGTCCTTCTGAGGGAGGGCTGGGACCTAAACCTTTTATGTCTCATTCCCTCGGAGGGGAAGAACTGTTTCCTATCAAATGCTTGGACAGCTGAAGGAGTAGGATGTGACTCTTGCCCTCAAGTAGCTCACAGATACCGTGTAATGTCGTGCGCCGTGTGTTGCACGGAGCGGGTGAGGGGCGGTACGTGGGAGCAGAGGGGGAGCGCCCCGCCAGCAGGCAGACACGCCCGCCTGGACTCCTTGCAGGTGAGGAAGGACGGCAGCCCTGGCGGCCGAGGGCGGGTCCGCGTGGAGGTGCCACCGCCTGGAAAGCCTCCTTCCTGTGAGCTGTACTGCGCTGTCAGGAGGAGCAGGCCTTGGACGGTCCAGGCTGGCACCTGGGTTCTTGTTGGTGCTAACGGAGCACAGTCTCCCGTTGTTGGCTCCTTGGCCTACAGGCCTATTCCTGTCGCTCATCCGTGCCCGCTCAGACCCACTCGGAAATGATCTTAGCTGTGGCGTCCTAATGAGCTGTTCTCTTTCCTGAGGCCACTGATGCCGGCACCTTCTCTGTTGGTCGCTCTGTGTAGCCAAGTTCAGTCTGCAAACCGTTGGGTTCTACTTTGTTCTCCAAAAGATGGTGAGCAAGTAGTCATCATTTTCAGTATAACTTGCTCTTCAAGTTTTTATTTTTTTCTAAACTAAGTAATCCTTAGGCTTTTCTCCCCTTCAATAAATTATCTTTACATTCTCCTTAAAAGTATTTTGTAACTTCTGCATATTCCCCTCACCTGGTATGCTCAGAATAGAGGTGGGATCATATAGCACTCAAGCCCAGTGTCTCACCTTGTGTCCACGCACCTGCATTTGCCTACCTGCCTGTTCCAGTATTTAGTGGTGTGAGTGGGAATAGGTGTGTCTTATCAGAGTCACAGGGCCCAACCCTGTGTGGGTCACCCAGGTGTGTCATGGCAGTGTTTGGGTTTTCTGTATGTGCCCTGACTTGAAAAGGGTTTATAAGTCCTGGCTAGAGTACTGCCACGTGAGATACAAAGAAGAGCCATGGTGTGGAGCTGAGCTGTTGTGATTTTCAAACGGCTTCGAGCTTGGCTAGGTTGGCTGTTGTGTCCTCCAGCCAGAGTCACTGGCACAGCTGTGGGTGGACACAGTGAGGCGGTCACTGTCCTGAGGGACACGCACACCTCGGGGACTGGGATGAGAGTTGGGCAAGGGCTCAGGGAAGCGGGCTCTGCTCTGGCTTGGATTCTGGCAAGAAGCAGGGTAGCTTTGTTGGGGATTTATTAAATTTATTAGAAGGTGAGGATGAAGTCAGGCTGGAGATGTGGGCTGGCAGTTCCTCTCCTCGGTGGGAGAGGGGACGTCAGGGGCTGTGATTTGCAGTCACCTCCTGTGCTTGTGCTTAGACACAATTGGGAAGTGAGTGGCCTTCATTTCCTTTGCGTTTGGCCTCCGGTTCAGCATGGCCGCACACCGACCGTGTCTGACGGCGGCGCTCTGGGTGATGCTTTATGCCGCACAAACTTGCCGTGGCGGGGCCGTGGGCGCCGGGCCTGCTCTCAGGCGGGGCTCCTCTGCTCTGCGTGTGGATGTGCCTGGTATTTTCCTGGTGCATAGAATGCCTGTGTTAAAAACAATACTCCAAGCTTGCAAGTAAAAACCAGGTGGAAAGCATTTGGAAGAGACTGAAGTGAGAGAGAGAAATTACAGTGCTTTGGAGCAGTGAGAGTCAGCCACCCAGAGGCCTGCCCACCTTGTTTTGTGGCTTATACCACTGACCGGGGGGAGGCAACAGGAGAAACTGCTGTGATGCTGACCAGTGAGGACGGGGTTAGCAGCACAGGGGTGGTCAAGTCACCGAGCGCCTCTGGGCCCGGCCGTGTGGTCAGAAGCCCTGTGATGTAAAGAAAGTAATGGTCAAGTCCAGCGGAAAGGTGGCCTGTGACCCAGGACAGCGCAGGTGGAATACAGAGGCTGCAGGACACACAGGTGACCTGTGAGGAAGGGAGAGTGTCGTGTGGCCGCGCCACAGGTGGCTGTGCTGAGGAGCTGCATGTCACAGGGACAGGCTTGTCACAGGGATGGGCCGTGAGAACATTGGGCATCAGGGTGGAGAGCAAAGGTCTGAACAGCCGGTGCCAGCACATGCGTCTCAGAAGCAGGCGAAGGAGTCCGCGAAGCCAGTCAGGCTGGGGAGGAACAGGCAGATGGTGTGACGGGAGCGTAGGTTGGAAAACATCTTTCTTCATCAAAAAAGATGTTCTTAAAAATGGAACAGGGCACGGTAGATGTGGGCGGAGGATATCTTGAAACTGCATTTTCGTGCCAGTCCCCAGGAGTCCCTGTGTCACAGTGGAGATCTGGCGTCACGCCAAGTCCTGGGGAGGACAGATCTTCACAAATAGCCACAGATGAAAGCAGGGGCTGACGGAAACTTTAATGGTCTCTTCAAACTGGAAATGAGAGCTCGAATGAGATGAAAGGAAAATCATTCCCTTCTCCGCCCGTCTGGAGAGTGCCAGGCTCTGTGTTGCTGGAAGAGCAAGCCTCTCCATTGGTATTGGGGCAAAGGAGGGGATGGGAAGCATTGTAATAAACACCCGAATGCTGTCACCCTGTCCAGATCCGTGGGGGCCGGGGGTTGAAGGTCTCTGTGCAGCAAGCTGTTCCCAGAGTCCGGCCCCAGCCCCATTCCCGGAAAGCCTTCCCCCCAGAGGCCTGTCCACAGATGGGGCTGCCCGAATGCTCCAGCCTCAGCCGGCCGTCTCATGAGTGGGACGGAGCCCTTTGAAAGGTGTGCCTGTCGCTGATGGATGCCAGTGGCAGGAAGGACACATTTAACACTTCCCTGCAGAGCACGGGCTTCCTGGCACATTGTCCATGTGCTGCCGTGGGGAGAAGGCGCGCCGTCTCCTCCCCGTGTTTGCCTGCCCTCTGGCTTCACCTGCCCCTCCCCCAGGTTGGTCAGCTGTGGCTCTGGCATCAGACCTGTTAGACCAGCAGTCGCTGACCCGTGCGTGGTCCGTCAGTTGGCGACCGTTGTATTAGACCATCGGCTGCTGTTAGCTCAAAACCTTGGGAGGGTGGAGACAGTTCTGATGAGGTATAAGTAGCAGGCTGTGTTGATTTTATTTTCCTCCATTTTTACTAAACTCAAACAAAGTTCTCATGCATTACTAGGTTGGAGAAACGTACGGTAAGGATATAACCTCCAGGGGCAAAGACAAGCCGATTGCCGTATGTAAAACTTTCAGTCGACTTCAGTTTCAGCTCTCTCTCCTCTCCTTTCTTAGTTTTCCTAGGATTTCCTCTTCAGCCTCACGTTTCTTGGGTCTGCTTGAACCGGGCTTCGCATAGGGTGTGACCCTTTACCCCTAGCTTGAATGGAAGCAGTCCTCCCGAGTGGAAGGGGAGGCTCTCCCCAGGCTGGTGGAGATGGAGACGGGGCTCCGCCAGGAACCCCACTGCGGGCCCAGAGCTCAGCCGGGTGAGACTAACCAGGGCTGCCAGGGCCTTCTGCTGGTGTCCTGGTGCGTGGTGTCCTGGGCCGGGGTGCGGCTGTGCGGGTGGTGAACTAACCCACTCTGCTTTGTCGTGTCATCAGCTGCGGTGATTCTTGGACAAGCTTGTGCATGTGCTGGCATAAAAATGTTGTTCATAAAAAGCTGTTTGTGGGGTGTTTCTTTCCCTTTCAGGTACAAGATAGCGGCTGGATGATTGAAAGTGTTAGCTTGGGACTCGGGAATTTCACCAAGTAACAGAATTGCCTCTTTCCAGGAAAATGTTTTATAAATTAGCGTTTTAGAAACTCGGTATTTTTTAATTCGAGTAAGTATTTAGACTTTTTACACAATGCAGGACGGGAGGAAAGCCCACATGCTTCACTTGTAGCCCCACGTTTTTCAGGCATTTCTTCTGCACCTACCCCGCCCGGGCACAAGCTTTCTGGAGGCCGCGTGCAGGCGTGGGGAGCTCCGACTCTCACACGCTCGGCCGGCCTCCCTCGTGGGAATGTGCTCAGTTAGCAAGGGCTGGAGCCCAGCGACCAGCTGAGGGTGTTTATGCTTACCACGCAGGCGCGGAGCTTCCTGAGAAGCATGCGCTTGTAGGTAATGCTTTGAGAAACTGGCCAGGTTTTACGGAATATTCTAGTGGTGCCTTGACACTTGATTTTGTCCCCGTTAGTCTCCCAGTGGGAGTTGGGAGTGATGGAAAGAGGCCTCCCAGGCTCTGACCTGATGCCTCCACAGCCTCAATAATGGGTGGCATGTTTCGCCTCCGCTCCCCTTCTCCCCGTGGCCGGTGCTTCAGCAGGGCCTTGTTTGGGAGCCGTCTGCCAGAAGCCAAGGTGTATCCAGGGAGCTTGCTCTCGACACAGGCTGCGGGGGTACAGTACGTGCCCCTGGTCCAACGGCTCGTCCCCAGCAGCATTTAGAAAGCAGAGTGCGTTCGTCACTGCGGGACCATCTTCTAAACGCCACCTGTGTTTCCTTTTTATAGGACGTCTTCTTAATTTGCTTCTCTCTTGTGAGTCCTGCGTCATTTGAGAATGTTCGTGCAAAGGTAAGTGGGGTTTTTTTTAGAAAACCTATTTTGTTACATAATGTCACTCTCAGGAAGAAACTTTAAGACATAAAATACCATTCACTGATTGACATTTTCAGTTACTTAAATTGGGTTTAGTAATTCTGTTAAAGCGCACCAGCAGTGTTCTAAGTGTCTGACTGCAGTGCCTGGAGTTGTAGCTTCCGGCTGACTCAGAGTGCTGAGTGCAACGTCCAAGAGTGAAGCCCAGCGCCGCCCCCACCCCTGCACCTCTCAGACCCGGCGAGAAGCACCCTTGCCGGGGCCCCTCAAGGCTCAGTGGGTGATGGCAGCGGAGCCGAGACCTTGGTTCAGATCTCTATTCTCATCCCTGAGTATATATACAGGGCAGGCAAAGTAGGTTGACAGTTGTGAGTACACTAAATACTGTTTGTTATTAATTATTACATTACTTATTTGTATTACATCTGTCAACGTACTTTGCCCACCCCTGTATGGAGTATTTTCTGAGATGACCTAAGAACTTGACTCGTCTTACTAAAAACGAAGTGGGTTTAGGGGGAACCATCCCTGTCTCTTCCCCTCTCTCTTGCTGATGAGTAGTGCCTGCCCGGTAGGGCCGCGAGTTGACCATGCTTACTGTGGGTTTAATCTTGGAGTCCTGCTTGCTGTCAGATATCCAAGGCAGTCCCCTGGTCCAGGCCGCCCTGGTCCTCGAAGGAGTGAGTGGAATGTGAGCACAGCTGGGAGCAGGTGGCTTCTGCGTGAAGGCTGTCGGGACACAGTGACTCAAGGGCAGGTGGCATTTTGGCCACTGAGTATATGACTTAGGTGAAGGACGCTCAAAAAGGAGGGTCATAACTCTCGTCCTTTCTTCCCATCCAGTGGTACCCTGAAGTTCGACACCATTGTCCCAACACTCCCATCATCCTGGTGGGGACCAAGCTTGATCTTAGGGATGATAAAGACACGATTGAGAAACTGAAGGAGAAGAAGCTGACACCCATCACCTACCCGCAGGGTTTAGCCATGGCCAAGGAGATCGGTATGAGCAGCTGCGTTTCTCGTGTTTGCTTTGTACGTGCTTTCGTTTTCCTGATGGAGACTGAAGTGCAGCCTGGGAAGTGGAGCGTGTGCTCCTCCAGCTCAGGGACTGGCTGACTGTTGGGGAACCAGTTAGGTGACCCCGCCCATAGTGTTGAGGAGAAGCAGTGGGGTTAGGGGTTGCTGTGCTGTGTCTTGGGGGGCGGCCTCCCCTTGTTCTGATCAGAACCGTGGCCGAGTGGCTGTAAGAGGCTGTGTCTCTCGGCAGGTGCTGTAAAATACCTGGAGTGCTCAGCTCTCACACAGCGAGGCCTCAAGACAGTGTTCGATGAAGCTATCCGAGCCGTTCTCTGCCCGCCGCCCGTCAAGAAGAGGAAGAGAAAATGCCTGCTGTTGTAAATGTCTGGGCCTCGCCCCGTGCCCTGGCCCTGCGAACCTTTGTATGCTTTGCTCAAAAAACGATGGAGCCTTCGCACTCAATGCCAAGTTTTTGTTACAAATTAGCTTTTCCATAAAACCATTTTGAACCAATCAGTAATTTTTAGGTTTTATTTAAATAAGTGTAAGGATTCAAACTTTCACATTCTATTAAAATTTAGCCCTAAAATGACAAGCTTTCTTAAAGCCTTATTTTTCAAAAGCCCCTATTTTTGCTCAGATAAAGAGTTGCCAAAATTCCTTGTGAACTAAGTTGCATTGTTGTGCTAAGAACACTAAGCACTAAACTGTTCAAAGGCCTTTGTCTTGGAGAAGACTAGCTTCTGAAGTTAGGGAAGGCAGGCACTTGCTAATGAGTCTCACACGCAGCAGCCTCCTTTACGAAATGTTGCCATTCATAATTTATCAACCCACGCTCCTTACCTAACATTGTACTGTATATCAACTCAACTCTTCGGATTGATCTTTATTTCGTAGTGAGATTTTTAAAAATTAGTATATTAGCTTTTGCTGGATCGTGAGCAGACCCTTCCTCACGTGTTCCTCTGATGAAGTATTCTGCTCTCACGGGCACACTGGGGTGGAGTGTAGGGAACACTTGATGTGATCAAAGGATGAAGACAGTATTTGACAAAATATGAAGTGGAGATTAATTTACACTACATTGTACGCGTAACAAACTGAATAAGTGTCTTGGGTAAGATTTGAAAAAGGTTAGTTTCTGTCAAATGCAGTTGATGGTGAAAGTTGGTATTAATCAGTAAGTGTTTTCTTAAGATTTTACTTTTTCTTTAAACTTGTAATCCCTCCCACAATTGGGCATTTAATTCATCTTGGAACTGGTCATTCCCATAGTTGCTAACTTAGTGCTTTTCTTATAGACCCCTTCTCAATGAGCAATATGCCTCCTTGTATAAAATCTTTCTTGATAATGCATTAGTTTTTCTGTAGGTTAGTCAAAGTGCATTCCTGTTTTCACGTTCTTTTATTCAAAGCTAGTAAGTGCTTTCCTTAGTTTTCTAGAAACTAGATGTAAAAATCACGTGTTGCATCTCTACAGTTTTTTAAGTATTTTAGATATTCTTAAACTACGAGCCTTCTTACCACCACTGTCTTGCCAGACCCCAGCACTGTACCTTGGCCGCGGCTGGCCCCTCCGCCTCCCTGTGTGGACACGCTTCCTGTTGCTCTGCCTAACCATGTTCCTTTGGGTGGGAGGTTGTGACCTTGTGCTTGTGCTAACGACGTTCTGTATAGCTTACCCACTGGCAAGAACACAAATTGGACCTTTCAACCACTAGAACAACATTTTTTAAATTGACATTTGCAGACTTGTGGAGTGTTTTTACATTGATCTTTGCTAATGCGGTTAGCAGTATGTTTGCATGTATGACTTAATAAATCCTTGAATCCTATGAGTGGTCATACTTGAGTTCTTGAGAGCTCGGGGAACGACCCCCTGGCGTGTCCGTTTTCACTTGCCTTTAAATTCCTAGGCTGTGGAAGACCTTCATTTTCAATCCCCTTTTCATGCGGGGACAGGGAGGGCCCTCCAGCAGAGACGAGACATGGGTGAGTCAGCAGATGGGGGTGGTTGGTTTCGGACCTATGAGATACTCCCGTGATGCCCACCGTGGGGCACCCGTGTGCGCACTGCATGTGCATCTCAGGCCAGGGCTCTGGGCTGAAATGAGATGCTGGGATCACAGTTGGCACGGTGGTGGGGCAGAAACACTGCCTTCAAGACCCTGTCTGGAGCCTGGAGCTGTGCCATCAGTAGTTAACACTGGAATCCGGTTCCTGGATATTCTTGTTTATTGCTTTGGAAGACTTTTATTTTTGAGTTTCTTTTTAACCAAAGATAAATATGCTGTTTAAAGGCCAAATAGTTCTAGAAGCTTGCTACAGAAATAGCCGTCTTCCCCTTTTATACCCTCCCCAGAGGCAACTACTTTGAGTACTTTTAACAGATTTTTTATATTTGCCTTCACAATCTAAGTCCTTCTAAATGCTTTCTTTTTTTGTTCACCAGATTACCGGCTTATTAGAGAAGGCTATGCCTCAGCCAGACGGAGGAGATGCATGGGACGAGGTATGGGGAGAGAGTTCGGGGTTCCCATGCCTCCTTCCAGGGCCACTCTCCCCAAATAGCTACATGTTCACCAGCCCGGAAGCTCTCAGGACCATCCTCTGGGTTTTTATGGAGGCCTCATCGCACGGCAGGACTGATAAAACCCTCTCCGGAGGTCAGCCTAAATCCTGTGCTTTTGTTGGTGGTTGAATTCTTCCGTTTCAGCCATTACCAGCGACATTCCCACCGTGGGAGATCTGAGGGCTTTGTTTCCAGCTATACCTCCGGCCCAGCACCTTTCCCATTCCCTCAGTATTGTTATTGTGGTTGGTGCTCATTATTTAGTGTCTGTATTATTACTGTGTAAATATAGCTGAGCCTCCTGTATGTGCCTTGACTGGGAATTGAACCGGTGACCTCTTGGTGCATGGGACAATGCTCAAGCAGCTGAGCCACACCAGTCAGGGCAAGCTTGTTTTTTTGTTGTTAATCCTCACCTGAGGGTACTTTTCCATTGCTTTTTAGGGAGAGTGGAAGAGAGAGGAAAAGACAAAGAGAAACACATCGATTGGTTGCCTCCTGCACAAGCCCGGGCCAGGGAGGAGTCTAATACCAAGGTACATGCCCTTGACCGGAATTGAACCCAGGACCCTTTGGTCTGCAGGCTGATGCTCTACCCACTGAGCCAAACGAGCTAGGGTCAGGCTTATGCTTTTTAAAGAAATCCCTCTACCGTCATTTTATGGGCTTTGTGGGTTGGAGTGAAATCAGATGTCCATGCAATCTTCAGTCTAGCCACAGGGCCAAGAAGACTCCATTTTGTTACAGTGGACAGAAAAAAAACTTGAAGGATGATTGCTTAAAGCCACCTGGGAAAACAGCCGTGGAAGCGTCCAGTAGGCGAGCACATCATTGTACACACACCAGTGACAGTGTAAGCGCTTTATTAATGCCCTGGCCGACTCCGAGAGCCAGCGGGATGTTCACATCAACTGGGTTGATGAAACAAGGTGAGCGAGTAAACAAGGAAGGGCTGTGGCCGTGGGGCAGGAGCTGTCTCCCCTCACTTTCCTGACCTGGTTTTGTCTTGATTCCCAACAGGAGCTCAGGGCTAATCCTTAGTCCTTAGTGCCACCAGGAGTAAACCCCAGTCTCTACCCTCCCAGCTGAGAACTGTGTGTAGCCAGGAGAACCTGTTTGCTAAATAAACTGCACACCTGTGTGCCCAGCTCAGGCTCCTCTGAACAGGGACAAGACCCTGCCAGTGGGAAGTGGCGGGGGTGGGGGTATAGACCAGACCTGGCTGCCCAAGTCCCACGCTGTCCTGGGCCATTCTCAGGTGGAATCCGCAGGTCCCGGGGACAGGCTCCTGCGAAGCTTTGTGCATGTTCAGCCTGCTGTGCTGATCATCTGATAAAGTGGTATCTCAGACCGTTCAGTCATTAGACTCGTTCAGTGCCTGTCAAACTCCTACCATTGCATTGGCATCATGGGATTCACTTGGATGTGAAGTCTAAGAATAACGGTCCGCGTCTGCAGTCCTGGAAATCTCCAGTAGCTGTGGTCACACCACGTCCCCATTACGCAGAGCCTCCTGGGGTGGGACAGGAAATGCAGGCATCCCTGTTGGACACCCTGTCCAAGGCTCTGATCAGGACGTCCGGCATGTGGTCTGTGAGCATCTTTCCGCCGATGAGTATTTCACTGAATTCTGATTCATGTGCCCACTTTGCAGTATACTGAGCAGTGTAACAGGAACACCTGAAAAAGACAGGACTCAATTGGCAAAGCATCACTTCGAGTTAAACTCCACAGACGTGTTTCATTATGGATGGTGTGTGGACTGAGCCAGGTCAGGGTCCCAGCCCCCAGCTCACCTCCCTGAAGGACCCTCTTCTTCCAGGTGGATGATCCTGCCAGGAGGGTAGAGAGGGGGGTACTTGGTGGGGGACCCTAAGGGGGAGTCGTTGGGTCTGTATCCTGGGGACTTGTGTGTCAGCAGGCTCTGCTCCCCGAGAAGTGGCAGTGTCAGGTCTCTGTGGTCGTCCCCGTCCAGCTCTGTTGGAAGGTCATCGGGGCTCCCTCCAAACAGCCCATACCAGCAGCCGTGCAGCAGAATCTTGTACTAGAGGGCGAGACCGAGAAGCAGCAGCACTGTTACTCCAGGCTTCACGGCCCGGAGCTGGGGGAGGTGGCAGCAGCTCTCGGAGCGCGGACAGATGCCTCGCTGCCTATTAGTCGGATCTTAGGAGTGGAGGCCAGTGGGCCCAAACTCAGGTGTCTCTTAGGCAAAGAAGCCATCATATAGAAGCAATATTTAAAAACCAAATCATGCAGATTTTGAGGCAAAATTATCCTTCTTTTCAGGTAACTCTGCAAACCAGTTTTACTCTTCCCTCAAAAATGTTAGATACGAATAGTTTTAAATTGGGGGTGGGGAATAGCTAATAAGGAGAAAGTTTATTTTAAATTCTTAGTATTTTTTCTGATTAGCAACAAAAAAATGTCAGAAAACAAAGGTTAAAGGGAGATTAAAAATTTTTTCATCGAACCTCATATCTGTTATTTATATCCTGTTTGTTTTTTAACGTTTCAATACATCATGGATAGCTTTCGCTATTGGTAAATATAAGCTCACATCACCATTCTTTTTTTTTTTTTTTTTTTTTTTTAATCCTCACTAGAGGATACTTTTCCCATTGCTTTTCAGAGCGAGTGGGAGGGAGAGAGGCATAGACTGGTTGCCTCACACATGTGCCCCAACCTGGGGTGGGAAGCGAACCCACAACCCAGGTATGTATGTGCCCTTGACTGGAAATTGAACCCACAGCCCTTTGGTGTGCAGGCCGGTGCTCTAACCACTGAGCTCATCAGCTAGTGCTCATGTCACCATTCTTAAAGGCTGCCTAATATTCCACAGGACAGTCCTACCGTTGTGCCATAAATTCTAGCTGGTAGCCTTGTTTTCTGAGCTTTGGGACCAAAGGCATCAGGATATCGTGGGTCACAAGAAGGGCTAAGAAGTACAACAGCAAATCACAACGAAGTCTGAGAAGTCTGCCCAGGGTAGCGTCACCTGCACTGGCTGAGGCTTCGAATTTAGAAACATCCTCCCCAGGTCACACAGGCACACATTACCTTGGGCTTGTTACAATGGGCAATCAGCCGCAAGATTTTCTTCTTCAAATCCTCCATGTTGGTCACACTTAGCCTGTTTATCGAAAGATGAGATTGATGCTCAGTACTCAGTCTTTTCAGCTACCCCAACCCCAGACGAAGCACCAGCGGACTGACCTGGGAACCACATCCTTGCCCACGACAAGTGACACAGTGAAGTCCTTAGAGTATTCATAAAGGGATTTGCTGAAATTTCAAAAAAAAAGAAAAAATAACGTTTCCCTTCTCTACCCTAACTCGAAAAGATGATACGCACCCACACGTTCGGTGCAGCACTAGTTACAGTAGCCACGACACGGAGACAACTGAAGTGTCCACTGACAAATAAAAATAGTGAAATTTTGCCACTTGATAAAATATGGATAGGCCTGGGGGCATTGTATTAGGTGGAATAATTCAGACAGAAAGACAACTACCACATGACCTCACTTATATGTGGAATCTAAAAAACAAGTTCACAGAGAACAGACTGATGGTGGCCCGGGGCGGGGTTGGTGGCAGAGGTGGGCAAAATGCATGAAGAGACTCAAAGGGTAGAAACATCTATGTAATAACAGCCTAAGCGACCATTACAGCAGAATAACCAGAACAACCAGTCGCTATGATGCGCACTGACCATCGGGGTAGACGCCCAATGCAGGAGCTGCTCCCTGGCAGGCAGTGCACTCCCATGGGCGCTCAGCCAGAAGCTGGGCTCACAGCTGGTGAGTGCAGCAGCAGTGGCAGGAGCCTTTTCCACCTCTGCAGCAGCGCTAAGTGAGCCACGTGGTAAGGAGCAGCAAGCAGGCGAGCAATAAGAAGTGAGGGCTCCCCGATGCGAGAGGGGACAGTTTGGGTTGAGGGATGTCTCCCCCCACCCCCACCTCTGTGCACAAATTTCATGCACTGGGCCTCTAGTCCAGTTTTAAACAAGTCCACTATAGTTAACACTGTATTGCATATTTGAAAGTTGCTAACAGTAATCAAAGTTGTCATCACAAGAAAAAAATGCATGGTAACAGATGTTAACTAGACACCGTGGAGATTATTTTGCAATATATGTAAATACTGGATCATTGTGTTGTGTGCCTGAAATGAATAAAATATTGCATGCCATTTGGCATTACATCGTTTAGGAAATCAAAGCCATGGTCAGACAGACCTATGAAAGGCTATGTAGGCCCTGCT